GAATTACTATATGGGAGATGTATTTTCAGTTTTAAAAATGTGGCTCTCAAAATAAATTTCAATCATGGTTTTGGCGAGATTTGGCTCAGTTGAAAAAAAAGGTTGCCCACCACTGGTCTAGAAGGAATAATTGTTTTAAGGGTTTCATCTTTCAACAAAATTGGCCAATATTTTTTTAAAAATACATTCAATATCTTTATATTGCATATTGTAATCAGTAATAAAAGCTGTATGTTCCAAACTTTTCTTATCTTTTTTGTATAATAGAGAGTCCCTATCCTTATTATTAATCAACTCCCTTTCTGATTCCAAAAAAGGCATATCAAAACCCTTTTTTATGAATCTATTAATCAATACATTACTCTGATCCGTAAAATCACTCTGTATACTACAATTTCTTTTAATCCTCGTAAATTGACTTCTCGGGGTAGAAAACAGCCATCTAGGATGGTGTCCACTTGATTTTGGAATATAGCTGTTTTTATCTATATCCTTAAAAAAGATCTTAGTCAAAACATATCCATTAGATTTAAACAATGTCAAATCCAAGAAATTAACTGTTTTAGGGTCACTAGTAACTGTAAACCGTAATCCATAATTATTGTTATTAATAAATTCTGTGAATCTGTCAAGATCTCTTTCTGAGCCATCCCAAATCATCACAATATCATCAATATAACGCCTATACAATTTCATTTCTGGCCATTTGTCAAATATACATTCTTCTTCCCATTTGTCTAAAACCAAATTAGCCACACTGGGAGCATACTTCGCTCCCATAGCAACTCCTCTACACTGCTGGAAAAAAGTATCTTTATACCAAAAAAAATTATTCAACATAGCGAACTCTAAGATCTCTATAATAAATTGTCTTTGAACCTTTTTTAATTTGGACTTATATTTTAACGCCCACTTCACCGCTTTAATACCGTCCTTCTGGTTAATACTGGTATATAAAGATTCTACATCAATGGTAACTAAAAGACAGTCACCAATGTCACCTACAGTTTTTATAGTGTTAATAAATTCACCACTGTCTCTTAAAAAAGATCGATTAGTTTTCACTATGGTCTATAGAAAAAAATCTACATATTCTCCAATGCGGGCAAAAATGGAATTGATCCCACTAACAATAGGCCTTCCAGGGGGATTGAATTTATCTTTATATAACTTTGGCAGATAGATAGTCGGAATTCGAGGATTTTTTAATATACAAATATCTAGCCTCTTTATCATTTAGGACTCCCAAATCCTTACCTTTCTTAATTAATTGTTTTAAACAAAGTTTCAATTTTTTAGTTTGATTGGATGCCAATATTTTATAGGTGTCTTTAATATTCAACAGTCTTTCCATTTCTTTTTCATAATCACTTTTATTTAAAATGACGATACTTCCTCCTTTCTCTGCACTTCTAATAATAATATTTTTCCTATTTTCTAAATCTTTAATCCCTTGTATAATATCAACTGGGGTATAATCTTTTTTAACAATATTTTTTACATCAGCTTCATTTTCTTGAAGACCTCCAAAAAACTCATTTCCTCCATTGTTAGGATTAAAGGTAGAAGAGTTTCTAAGCAGACAATGTTCATAAATACTTGATGGTTGTTTAATATTGACACTCTTATCTTTATTCAATTCAAAAAACTTTTTAATATTCAATTTTTTCACCAATTTTTGAATATCGATAAAAACATTGAACTTTTTCAAGTTCGACTTAGGTACATATTTCAATCCTAAATCTAAAACTTTTAATTCACATCCTGTTAAAATTACATTGCTTAAATTGAAAATACCATCACCTATGGTTCTCTTTTCCTTTTCTTTTCGCTTGCCACCTCTCTTACCTCTGTATCCTCTAAATCTCTTACTGCTCCATACAAATCTTTATCCCTCCAACCCTACTCTGGGGGTCTGAAATTCCTTGAAACCGAATTCCATCCTCTGTTGAAATTCTGAAAACCCTCCGACCGTGGAAGTTCCCCGAAAACCCCCTCTCTTAGACCAATGACCTCTATATCTATATAGGGACTCTCTCTTATACAAAAAAGATAAAAAAAGTTTGGAACATACAGCTTTTATTACTGATTACAATACGCAATATAAAGATATTGAATGTATTTTTAAAAAATATTTGCCAATTTTGTTGAAAGATGAAACCCTTAAAACAATTATTCCTTCTAGACCAAAATTTGTCTATAGGAAGAATAGATCGCTGCGGACGAAATTAGCCCATAATGTTATTGACTCACCTAAGGAAATTAATTTGTTTCCTGGTTTACAAGGATTCTTCCATTGTAATAAATGTAAGGCTTGTAAAACAGTAAAAAGAGATTCGAAGATAAAAAGAAAATAATTTTATTCAATGACAACGAATAAAAAATATAAGATCGACACACTGATTTCTTGTAATTCATCCCATGTGGTATATGTTCTAGAGTGCCCATGTCACTTCCAGTATGTGGGACGGACAGGGAGATTATTAAGAACAAGAATAGGAGAACAGCTAAATAATATAAAGAAGGGCTATGACAAGCATAGTGTCTCCAGGCATTTTAAACTTCAACATAATAGTGATCCCAGTTTATTGACCTTTTATGGAATAGAATAGATATGGATGTTGCTCCATTTCCTCAAATTAAACCTGTCCAAAACCGAGCTCCTGGTCTTCCCCCCAGCCCGCGCCCCCCCCCCCATCCTCTCCATCACTACTAACAACGCCACCATCACTCCCACCCCACATGGCAAAGTCCTGGGTGTCACCCTGGTCTCAAACCTTTCCTTCCAACCTCAGGTCCAATTACTATCAAGGTCATGCAGGCTCCACCTCCGCAACATCTCCAACATTCCTCACCCCAGACACTACTAAACAACTCGTACACTCCCTCATCATCTCACGCCTGGACTACTACAACTCCCTTCTCACTGGCCTACCCAAACAAATGCTATCTCCACTCCAGTCGATCCTGAACTCAGCGGCGAAACTCATCCACCTCACCAACTGCTCCACATCCGCCACCCCCCCCTCTGCCAATCCCTTCACTGGCTCCCGATTGCCCAGCGCATCAAATTCAAACTGCTAACTCTGACCTACAAAGCCATTCACAACCTCCTACTCTCTAGCTCCCTGGTCTCCTCCTCCCATGCCCGATTGCAGGACTTCTCCAGGACTTCCCCCATCCTCTGGAACTCCTTACCCCAATTCATCAGACTGTCACCTACCCTCCTCACCTTCAGGCGCACCCTGAAAACCCACCTCTTCAGGGAAGCCTACCCCACCCACACCTAACAACTGACCTCCTCCACTCCTCCCACCACTCCATCCCCTACAGCCATTTCCTCCTGTACCACTTTCCCCTCCCTCCTAGATTGTAAACTCGAAAGAGCAGGGCCCTCGAACCCCTCGTGTATTGTATTGTTACTGTCTTGTCTCATGTTCTGTCCCCCTCGCTATTGTACAGCGTTGAGCAAACCCTTTGGCGCTATATAAATACTGTATAATAATAATAATAATTGGAGGGGTACTGCCATGATCAATGAGACCTCCAGAAGGGAGACGTTTTGGATATACGAATTCAGTTCTTTAAAACCGAATGGTTTGAATATTGACATTGATTTAAATTGTTTTCTGACCAATATTTGATCAAAATTTTTGGATCAAATTTTTTTTGATCGATTTTTTTTTTAATCTAATTTTTTTTATCAAATTTTTTGATCAAATTTTCTTCCTTTGTTGATGGTAAATTTTTAGACCATCCTGTTCGTATACAATAATGATTTATTTCAATTGGAAGATTAAGATTGATATTATTATTTAGGGTGGCCACTTAACAGCATGTGGTCACCTAGTTGATTATTACAGACCGATACAATCTCATTTAATTATTTTTTTATATATTTTTTTTTGGAATATGCATCAGCAGATATTATATGTTTATTGGTTGTTTATATTATTTGACATTATTAATTATACTGGCCCTTTAAATAATAGGGGGTCATATAGTGATTATATATGTTTTATTATTTTTTGAAGTTTTTTAGATTATTTTATATTGATTGTATTTCATTGTTTTATTTTTTATGTGAATATTATTTTCATTTTTATTTCATATTTTTTATCGGCTATTTAATATGTTATTTGTCTCAATAATGGATATATCTGCAGAGATCGAGCGGTATTGTGTCACCAGAATGCTGCTTATCGATTGGTTGCAGCGTTGCTGCAATGCAGATTTAGTGTGTATATATGTTGGTATTCGACGTCTGTCATCCATGCCGCCCCTTGAAGACGTTGGATGACGAAATGCGTAGGGAAGGTCTTAGTGGATGGGACGTTAGGACGCTCCTCGAGACTATCAGCTGTGATCGCGGTGAGCGAGGCTCGTCCCTGCTTTAGCTTTTTGAGACTGATATTGCTGTTATTTCTGGTGTCGGTTGGACACCTTTCTTGTGAGTGCATATTTAAGGCTACAATAAAAATTATCCTTGTTTTAATATACTGCACCATGATACTCTTCTTTGATTCCCCGAGCATTTCCAAAGTTATGAAGGCACGATGACCACTTGCAGTTAAGGCTGTTCCATGTGTGCTGATTTGGCTGATTGCAGTCTATTGCTCCTGGATACTCCAACAGATCATCGCTCCCAGAGCAATTGCTATTTTTGCTGATTTATAATTTGATCAGCAAATAGCTCTGGTGAGTTTACCCATTTCATTCGGTGGTGGATTTTACTACATGGTGTTTCTTCTTAAGAGATTTTTTAATCACTTATTTTGGCGTTTGGACTTATATATGAATTATGGACATTTATAAATATATTTTTTATTTTATGTATTTGTCTGCATTTTCATGTGATTTGGTATTTAGCGCATTCCTTTATATATTTTTTGTCACTTACCTTTTCTTTGGTTAGATTTGCAGCTTTATATATAATTTATTGGTGCTGTGTCTATATATTTTACACTTACAAAGAGTTCCTGCCTTTTGTTCGTTCTTACCAGCTCCTGGTGATCAGGTGCAAGATTATTTGTGTAGCCATAAGGAAACAGCAGCATCTGAGAGTAGCTGTGTATGGTGAGCATAGCCTTCACATCACCATGTGCTAGGATAAAGTCCACAATAGCACTAACTTCAGGTTCAGAATGAGGCTTTGATCCATGGTACGTCTCATCACAAGGATTGCTGCTGGATCCAGGACCTGCAACAAAACACATTTAATATTCTTAACATTTTTCACTTAACCAGGTAATTCATTATTCTTTGCAATTAAGTGCTGGGTTTGGATTTCATCTCTCCCACTAGAGATGGAAAAGTTACATGAATAGAGATACTTTAATTTCTTTATGGAAAGTGACTTTTTGCTAGTTATTCTGTGCTGATCAGTAAAGATCAATGATTTGTGTGTGAACCTTCATCTAGAAATCAGAGGTTTCACCTCTACTTTACCTCAATCTGAAAGGAGAAATAGATCAAAAGGGACACTGGAGAGACAGAAATCTAGTGGTTGTGTACACATTCTCTTACTCTGCTCTTGCTTTTTAACACTACACATGTGTCTGTTCCTCCACCTCAAAAACAAAAGTCTCTCTCTCACAGCGTCCGTACAATGAAATACCCCTACAGTCATGTGAAAAATTCTCCTTCTTATTCAGTGTCCTTCCATGCGTGATTCTTATTTCCTCCGCCAAAAAGCATAGAGTAGAAACAGCTCTTCCCAATCAACAGTATTCCCAGTTTTCCAATGGTATGTAGATCAAAACGGATAAGCATACATAGTGTATTACGTTCTTTAAAACAACAATTTATTCCAATAAAAAGGACTTACAAACAAAGCAGTGCACATCAGCATATATTCCTCATCAACACACAGCATTTGTTTGCGCTAGACCTTATCTAAGATGGCCGTTACGCAACTTCAAGTGTACGTCCGACTTCACCTACTGACGCATTTCGTCATTTCCGACTTTGTCAAAGGATCCTGTGCTGATCAGTAAAGATCAATGATCAATTTCATCAGTAAAGATCAATGATCAATCAATCAATGAGAATCCTTTGACAAAGTCGGAAATGACACAATGCGTCAGAAAGTGATGTCATATGCACATTAGAAGTTGCACAGCAGCCATCTTGGATAAGGTCTAGAGCCAACAAATGCTGTGTGTTGATGAGGAATATATGCTGATGTGCACTGCTTTGTTTGTAAGTGCTTTTAATTGGAATAAATTGTTGTTTTAAAAAATGTAATACACTATGTATGCTTATCCATTTTGATCTACATACCATTAGAAAACTGGGAATACTGTTGATCGGGAAGAGCTGTTTCTACTCTATGCTTTTTGATTGACTTAGTCTGGGTATCAAGTAGAAGAAGAAATAAGAATCACGCATGGAAGGACATAATAAGAAGGAGAAGTTTTCACAGGATTGTAAGGGTATTTCACTGTACAGACGCTGTGAAAGACTTTTGTTTTTGATTTTGAACTTTCTGGGGAGAAAGTAATATCCTGGCGTCTAGGGATTGAACACATATTTGATTTTTGTAAGATTAAAGGTTGTTTTGTTCCTCCACCTGTTAGTAATTCATAAATGTATGATTTAGCCTTGCTAAGTTACACCGTATTTGAAAGGGTTTGCACATAACATTCCTTTTTAGAACAGTCAATAACATAATAAAATATAGACTATAAGCAAATATTCATAGCAACCAATCTCAGCTTTTTAAGTCAGATTATTATACATTTTTGTAGACTAGAGGTGTTCAGCCTATTTTTGATATGGCCTTAAGTTTCAGGGTGTTGTTTACGGGATGCTAGCTACTATTTTGTTATAGTTGTGGGGCCCCATAAAGGTGTTTACAATATTCCATATCAAATTAACATATGGTAATTTCTAAAATCAAGAGGATCAAGGATTGCACATGACATCTATTTTTGGATATAATTTGGTGACCCAATTAAAGGTTACACACCTAGGCTTTCTGATACCCATAATACTAGACAACACTGCTAGTACAATTATCCTATTAAAATATTCTGTTGGCTTGTAACAAGTTAAAGAGCAACTCTAGACAATAGGTAAAGTCTATATGTGAACTAACCAGGAAACACTACAACTGCCTCAGAAACGCCACTGAATATTCAAAAATAATCCAATGCAGTCAGATGTAATAATCCCCCACCCCCCTTGCAAGGCATATTGTCCCCATGTTGAGGGGCAAGGGCCTCATCCCCACATCCTGTCCTCCAAAAAAGTGAGGTCTACAGGGGGGACTTATTCGATACTTATTAGATATTATACCCCCAGATATCCACCTAACCCCCAGGTGAATAAATACATGGTATTCTTTGTTACTCACTCACAAAAAAATTAAACAGTACATAAAAACACCCACATCATGAAAAAAGTTCTTTATAAAAAAAAAAAAGTTAATTATTGACATGACAGCTATCTGTGCTCGTTGATATTGATCTGCCGCTACTCCCATCACACTACTCCCTGGGGGCTTCTGTATGTAAACAAAGGGGCTGGAGATCCTGGGCGATGTCAATGACGAAATATGGTCATAATGATTTTTAGTCAATTATATAACCCATGATCCCTGTCTTGTTTATTTGCAAACAGGAACCAGCAGGGATCTGTCATACAGCGGTGGTTTTATCACCATTAAATGACAGTTCCAGTAATTTGCAAACAGAATCTAGCCATGGATCTGTCATTTAGTGGCGGTAGTGTACTGCCACTAAATGACAGATCCCTGACTACTGTTTTTATTTTTAAAAATTTCACTTTTAAAGGGAGTACATGGTAATGCTCCACAACTTTGCATGCAGTGTTTAAGGTGTCCCCAAAGCATGTTATTCAAAGGATTTGTGTATTCTGAATGTTGCTGTTAGGCCATATAAAAGGACTTTCTCCCTTTAGAATCACTAAATTTTTTTTTAATTTTTGTTTGCATTGGTACATGTACCACATGCCAAGCTACATTTACTTTGCCCATTTCTTTTTTTATCTTTTTAGCAGCCAAAATAACCATAGCTGAAGCATGGATGAAGTCTTCAGTTTCCCTGTCCAGGACTAAACATAAGACTGCCTAGATCATGGTACAAAAAAAAATAGCTAGCACTATCAATGATACTAAGCAATAATTTAAAAAAAACATGGGGCCCTTGGGCCCAATATATGAATATTCAGTTGTCTGTTTAGTTTCATATAGGTGGTGGAGGTCACTAGGTCCAGAACTCTTCCTCTTTTTCTGTTTATCCTTTTCTGTCTTTTTTTTTTTTTTTCTTATGTGTTGTCTGTCCCGTTCCTACAGCTGATTGTATGGTCAAAATGCCTTAAATACAATACAATTTTGTATCGCAAATTGACACTTTGGGACCCATGTGCCTCTATATGATCTTTTTAGGATTTTGACTCTTTTTCAAAAATGGCAATAAACGTTTTGAAAGAAAAGCTTGCCAATTGGCTTTGAAAAAGGCCAGAAAAAAGTAACAAGATTCCTATCTGAAAGACTATGCTATGTTTGAGTTTAGATTATTTTTTCCTAGGTTCTCAAAACCTCCTGCTAATTGAAATTTGCCCAGATTGCTCATCCCTATAGAGATTAGATATGAATCTGAAATACAGGCAGATGCAAAAGCCCTGGGTTCAAAACACAGGCAGTGTCTGTATAAAGCAGTCCAATCTAATACATTAAAGGGAAGCTGGCATGGTTTTGATAATTTTATTTAAATGCTTTTGAAAGTTTGCAAGTTTATAAATGTATCCTTTATTTATGTCATTTTTTAAATTTGTTCTCCTTTACAAATACATTTTTATTGCAAGGTCTAATAAGAAACCCCAACTCTGCATGCATACTTGTTTGTCTGTGTATAATTGACTATAAGAGAGAAGGACATTCTATTTTTGACTTGCCACCTACCTCAAAACAGTAGATATTAAATATTCATATATGCTGATTTACATGTAGCACCCTATAGTGTGCTACTAGGGTAGTGTAGGTAAATTTGTGTATGACACATGGTAACTGTTTGAGTCTGTGATTAAGTCGAGTTACTGCAGTTCAGGCTGGATGGCTTAACAGGTTGGGACTCTCTCTAACTTGGCTCTGGAGGACCATGAAAGCTTCCAGAAGCCAGTGGCCAGAAGAGGTGGATACCTAATCTGCATGTTTATAGGAGTCTAACCAATCCCACGTTTGGAGGCCAACCCATAAATATGTATGAGACAGTCTGGCAGGGGAGTTTGGTGGAAGATGGAGTGCTGAGGAGCCTGTTGGTGGCCTGGGTGGGGTCTCCTAGGTCTAGTGGGGCTGGCCTTCTTTCTAGGCTCGGGCTGACTCAGGAGGATCCATTCAGCATCACAGTATGAACAGGATCCATGTCTGGGGGCAAGGAAGACAGAGTGAGTACAGCAGCTCACCCAGGGATTCACAAGGGGAAAGACCGCCACATGTGGCACGTTTTCAAAGGATAGCATTGTGCTCAATCCTTTATGCTTGTACTGGGAGATCTTCAGATCAGCCAGGAGGGTTGGTAGTGTTTGCAGGCTGTGGAGCTGGAAGCAGTTCTACAGGGGAGAGGAGATATCTGTACATGTAGTTGCAATAAGTTAAGCTAACTTTCAGAGAGGGCTGGAAGTCCCTAGCCCGTAAGATACAGTTGCTACTGATCCCTAATGACAGACCACTTTCAAGGAAAGAGCAGTCTAGGATCTGTTTCTGTAAATAGGAAGGAAGTTGTCCCTGTGCATTAATTCAGTCAAAATGGACATCCCATAATCCCTTTTACCCTATTCAAGTAATTTTCCCTAATAAAATAGCAAAAATCAAGCTCATGAACTGTTCACTGACAGTGGATAAAAGTGAGGAAAATGTATGTTGCCTGGCTTTGCAGAGCTTAGGGGATCCAGAAACACAGTGGCCCTCAAGAGGGTAGCACTACATACATTTACCTGAATAAAAATTAAAAACAAAACTATCAATATCAATTTTCAGGAATGAGCATAAATAAGCTTTAAAGAAAACACCATATACACTTTATTTTAAGCAACAGAAACTTACCAACTGTGATGTTAACTAGTATAAAAATAACTAAATGACTGCGTACCTCCAAAGCCAGCATTCCAGTTCCGGTTTGGGTCCACCCCAACACAAGAAGAGCCTGCATTGATTGACCGGGTTTTCCTCCACATGCGATTCTAGGTAATCAATGAAAAACAAAGTGTAGCAAAAGTATATATTAGTTCCTATCACTATCATATAGTAATATGTAATACCTATGTAACACAGAAACCTTAAGGGAAATATCTGGAATGAGTGTTATATTTCTTTATTCATGGAAGAGGTGACTCTGAAGTATATCTATGCTGCTCTTGTATATTGTTAGCATGCCCTTGGCAGAAGAAAAGAGCATGCATACAGCTGTATATTGTTGATCATAGGGACAATGACACTGTACGGCAGGTACTGAGTTTGGGAAATTATTCCACTTGTTGTAGTGATAGATATCCTGCACGGACATTTTTAAACACCACAAATTCTTTGAAACCCATAGGCCATTTTTATGTGTTAATAATCTCGGCAACAATAGAGGTCAGAAACAAACTGCAGATATAATTGCCTTCCAAATGTCTTCCTGCCTGAAACAGAAAGATACATGTATGTACAGCAAGGCGAACAATGTACCCAGCTTGTGCTGGGAGGATGAATTTATATATATTTAGACTGTTAAAACTGCTTAACAAGTTTAAAGCCAACAATATCTAAGAACTGGATTCAACCTTACCTTGTTATGGGTATACGCATATCCATCTGGGTTTGTCACAATTTCTAGAAAAAAATATCCATATTGTCTAATACAGAAGTAAGAGCTGGATCAACCCCATACGTGCTTGCTATCTATAAACACAAACAACAAATTGAATTGTAAATAATGTTTTTTTTTATTTTACACCCTTCTTGTTTAAAATGCTACTTAACCCAGGACCCTGCATTCACTATATCTGGTCTCTAAAAGTATACACAATATGGAAATGCAATTATTTTTGTAAATATAAACTGTTAAATCAGAATATAGTCTTGTAACTGCTATCAGTGTCCAGCAGAGCACTGGTTAAAGCTTGCAGGAGGAGTTTTCATTCTCCCCTGATTGTCCTATGAGGCTGCATAATCCCTGACCCTCTGTCTGGACAGCGCTGACTGGCCTGTGCTGATCACATGCACTCTACCAAGAAAAAAAACTCTCTAGAAATACACACCAAACTAAGCTTGTGCAGCTTGTCTCCTGGCTGTTCTATCAGCAGATGGATTGGGGACTTTGGAAGAAGAGGGTAATCAGAGAATACAGGATCAAACATCCTTTACCCAATGGATTACCCCTTAGTTTGCACAGTGAGTATTACAAGCCTACTTTACTGCATATACAGACTGATTTTACTGTTGTGGGTTTAGTAACACTTTAAAGAATAATAAGAAACCTGTACAGTATGCCGCCTCAGATTCATATGTCATTTCAAATTGATTAGCTGTTGCGTATAACCTTTTTAGCTGTCCATATTCCAGTGGCAGGAGTAATCCACTCTCGAGAATGAATTCCAGTGTCAATCCAAATGGCTGGTTTATTACCTCCAGTACTGAACTAGGAAATAAAACATCAGTTAATCAGATCTTTTGTAGAGTTCTAAAAAAGTAGCAAGAATATCAGATGCGAACATATAACAATGTAGAATAGGTATAAACAGTTTAAACTTAAAAAAAAAAAAAGACTTGAGAGGCATGCAGAGAGTGTAGCCTTCCTGCTCGCTCAGTCATTCAACCAGGCATTACAGTAATATCCCAGTCCACTCAGGTACATTTTGATGGTAATTGGTAATCCTAGAATAGCTCGTGTCAACCTTTTTTTCACAGAGGAAACCATGAAAAACCTACTGGGTCTCAGGGAAGCTCTGCTAATAATTAAAGTGATTGTAAACCTTATAAAAAAAATAAACATAGGAACATAGAAATATAGAAAAGTGAAGGCAGAAGAGTGATCAAGCGGTCCACTGGGGATGCCCCCCCCCCTTTTTTTTTTATTTATACATTTTTTTTTACCTCTGCCGAGCATCAACTATCCTTTCACTAAAGTAATATTTTCTGAGATTAATTATGAACTTTCATCCTGTTAGTTTGAGGTTATGTCCCAGTGTTCTTGATCTTGGCTTCATATTAAAAATGCTGCACTCTTGAACCTTATTCACCCCCTTGATGCAGTTAAAGGTTTCAGTCATGTTTCCCCTTTTCCTTCCTCTGAACTGTACATATTAAGTTCCTGAATATGGTATAATACGTTCCTGCTATGTTTCATGCCTCAGACCTTTCACCATTTTTGTTAACTGTCTCCAGACTCATTCTATCTTATCAATATCTTTTTGTAAGTGAGGTCTCCAGCACAGGATACAGTATTCTAAATAAGGTCTAACTAAAGATCTAAATAGAAGAATTGGGACCACCTTCCTCCTGCTGGTGACCCCTCTAGTGATGCATCTTAGAATTCTATGCATTTTTCCCACTGCCTGGCCACACTGTTTGCTGATTTTGCAATAATCTGAAGTAAGTACCCCCACGTCTTTTTCCTCTGTAGTGCTGGCCAACACTGTACCCCCAATGTTGTACTCTGTCAAGGGATTCTTTTTCCCTAGGTGCATTATTTTACATTTAAAAACATTGAACTGCAATTCCCACTGTTTTTGACCAATTTTCCAGCAATGTCAAATAAGCTCCATGTTACAGACACCTCCAGACATACCTTACCCAACAGCCCTTCAGTTATATCACATACATTCAGGGGTTAGTGAAATATATGGAATAGTTACATGATTTACAGGTGTGAAAATGACCACATGTTTTGCGTTGAAAAGCAGAAGCCCCTGTGTGATGAGACACCTAGCTAACAGGTGGGAAGCCTCACTTTCATCAGTCACTGTGTGAGCTGCTAGTAATATGGAGTCATGTCAGAGTTTACTGAGTTTCAAAGAGGGCAATTATTGGTTCCCGCTTAGCTGGTGCCTCTGTGACTGAAGTTGCCAATTAATTTGGCAACCAAAAGGTAACGCTGTAGAAATTAAAGATGAAAAACAGATCATTCACCTTCAATACATATATTGGACGACCTTCAGAGCTTGAACCAATATCAGTTTTGCTGACAAGTTTTGGGTATTCCATCATCAAACTGTCTATCCAGCTGTAAATCTGAGAAAAATGAATACAAATTGTTAAACTGGCATGTCCTATGCAAACAAAAATATGCAGACTTCTTGCTTGTTTTTACTTAGACATTTGTTTGTCGCTATTGTTTCAAGAACCCTATGAGAAATTGTTATGCAGATGCTGCTGATACACAAGAAGATCTAGGAGGGGTTATGATAGCATGGGAAAAGCAAAAATGAATAGGTGTTTTCGTAATTTTCATAATACACTTAATCACTTAAAAAAATCTAACACCAACTTCATGTGCAAACTCAAAAACACAATTTGAGTCTATCTGCCATTCAAATTTAGTGCGTATACCTTTGCTTCCCCAGACCCTAAAACCATTAAAGTAACTAAAAACACTAAAAAAAAGAGGAGAAAAAGAATAAGAGAAAAGAGAGAAAAAAAAGGAAGGGGGCACCCCTGCCCCAAGCACTTTCAATCTCAGTTCCCCATGTTCAAATATGGTGAAAAGCGGTCATAGGTAGAGTCTAAGATAGCTGAGGTACAAAAATCCTTTCAAGCCTCCCATTTGGTTATAAAATACAGGGTATTTCTCCTGTAAGCTTGCTGTCAGTTTCTTCATAAGCATATTACTGTATAATTTAATTCAGACATCCATTCTTTAATACTGGGTGTGTGACATTAGAATTCCAATGTCTGGGTATAATAGCCCTGTCTGCGGCAAAAAATAAAGCATAGTAAACCCTTTTTGGTCATCTGTGGTGATCTTGGAACAATAGAAAGTAAGGCCTCCTTGGATAATTCAGGTAACCTATTGCTTGTAATAGCTAAGTTGAAATATATCCTTCCAAAATGGTCTCAAATAGGGACATGACCACCACAGATGTAGTATTGTCCCAAGTTCCATGCTGCAGCCGCCAACAATTAGATAGATAATTGGGGAGCATCTTTTGTATTCTGTCAGGACATCAATACCACCTGGATAAGATTTTGTAATTCCTCTCTTGTATCTGAACTGAGAGGCTTGATTTATATGTTAAAAAAAATGACTTTACCTAGTCTTCTAATGAAAGCAAGTGGCCTAACTCTCGTTTCCAGTCCCTGATATACAATGGATTATGAGAGAAGGCATGTTGAAGAAGTATGTCATAAATAGTAGATAATGCTCGCATACAGTCACTTTTCTGGAGGCACAAAATCTCTATAGGAGTTGCATCTCAAGAACTTAGACCTTGTGAGCTAACCAAAAAAAGTGTTTGAGTTGGAAATAGCATAGCCAATTGTTGGAGCTGTGGTGCTCCCCCACTCTAAACTCAGCTAATGGAAGAAGTTTGTCAGTCTGAGAGCCACGCAAGGAAACCTGGATTGCCCAGTATCGGAGTCAGTATCGGAGCCATCTTCACACTGCCATGTCCCAAACCTTCAAAAGAACTTGAGTTAAATGTTTTTGTTTTAAAGTAAATTATATACAAATCAATAGCAATACCACAGTCATCATTCGTATCAGGAATACTACAGTACAGTATATCTAAAGACATTCAATTTTTTTCTTTCTGAGTTTCACTAGAGAGATCTCCTTTCACTTCCTGCAAGGGTAATTTCCGTTAGAAAGTAGAGGGTGAATTTTCCCAACAGGGATGCAAGCAGCAATAAGGACCCAACAGGACTTCTACTCCTTCCTTAATCTATCAAACTATAAAAAGTTATACACTGACTAACTGCTGCATAATGGGGACATACTAGGTAGAGTCAGAATAAGGATGACAGTCTGGAAACTGTCAACAATAGCAGCTCTCATAGTTCATTACTGTGACAGCTAATGCCTTGCCAGCTCATACTGCAACCATAGGTGCCTCCCCAATAAAAGTAATTTGCTTGTGTTCTGCTTAGTGTGCCAGTTACACTGTTTGTTGATGTACTTATAATTGATGGATGTACAGATAGTACATGCAGAGGTGGGTAGATATGAAAAATGTGTATTATTATGGAGCCCGAACGT